CTTGCTCAAAGCCAGATATAGTTAGTTATCAGGTTTTTTAATATATTAGTTAACTATATATCTTTTTTTGAGCTTGCAAAAAAAAAGCAAGACTGGATAGAAAATTATATAGAAGAGCAAACCGGTCTTGAGTTGGACAAAAAACTATCAAATTCAGATTCAGATTTAGATTTAGATCTGCCTTTCTGTGATTTCCAATTAAGAGCTAAGAAAAAAAAGATCAAGAAGCAAGCTTAAAATAATAAATATCATCTGCCTTCTCGTAAAGCCTTACTTTAGAGTAAGGCCTTTTTGAATTCTCAACTTCCTTGTCATTGTAGTTAAGGCCAGCTTGGCTACGTAATTGCTGAAGCTCTTTCTTTTGCTCTAAATACTTAGTTAGCAACTTCTCACTAAGATCATTAATTTCGGTCTTAGATCTAAGTGCAGAATATAGTTTTTCTTTATGCTCCTATTTTCTCATTTCATTTGAAAAAAAGATAGATAATTTGGAAATAAAATATATCTAGTCATTTTTACTTTTTTTCGAGCTTGTGAGAAAAAACAAGATTTGCGAGACAAAATATATTAATAAAAGATAACTATTTTTTTTTTTCGAAAATATATTGATAATACCGAAAATATATCAATAATACCGAAAATATATTAATAATATATTAATAATACCGAAAATATATCGATAATATATCGATAATATCGAAAATATACTGATAATTTTTCGAAAAATTTTTTGTTTATTTATAAAAAAAATGCTTTGGTATTTACGTTCAGATGCCACTTCCCTATCTACTGAAAATATTAAGGATATTATTAAAGCCAAAAATTCAATGAAGTGGGTACCAGAAGCTATGACTAATAAATATAAAATTTCAATATGACGAGTATATCAAATTTGGAGAGGGTTCATCCGCCAATAGATTCACACTTTTTTCTCATAAATTCAGAAAAAAATTTGGATAACAAATCAATTTCCCTTCTTGATTTTGTCAAAGAAGGTGGGATCGAAGATCAAGAGGCTGAACCAATTCTGTCTGAGCCTGGCTCAGAAGGTTTAAATATTAGCCAAGAAGAACTAATTACATTTTACGAAAAAGAAGCTATTCGAGATAAAAAAAATATAGCCAAATTTAAATATATACTAGCTAAGTAAATAATCCAGGTCATCATAGAAAAATAAAAACTTCTCACATACATCGGTAAGAACCTCTTTAGCATTGAGAGTATCAAATAATATTTTTTCAAGTTCGTCATAACTCATAGGTTTTTTTTTTCCAAAGTCAGATTGATTTCCGGCCTGCCTTCTCTTTTCAAATTTATGAGAAAAGAGTGGGTCTTATGAACTGAAAGAGGTACAGTAATTATCTTATCTTTATGAATTAACTTGAATTCACGCTTAACAATAGGCTTCTATCCTGCTCGATCAAGCCAAGGTGTACCTAATAATATCTAGGGCTTATCATCATCCATGACCAGAAAGTCTTCAGAGATTGTACAACTATTTTCTTCCTAACCAACCATAACCGAAATATTATAAGATATGCTTGAAGACTCTAAGGAATTATTATACTATTTAACAGATGGTTTTTTATTTTTATCAACTTCTGCTCCCAATAATTTTATAAGGCCTTTTGAGATAACTGAGCAATTTGCCTCACTATCTATTATAGCAGAAGGCACTTGTACAATTTTTCCTAATGGCAAGCTAATCTTGCAACATAGTAGCAACATTATTGGGAATAATTTTACGAATAAAATTAATTTCTATAGGGTTGGGTCATAAAATTTCTGCCTCTGATTGTGATCCTTCTGGGGCTGTTTGGGGTAGTATATTTGTTTTGCTGGGAAGCAATTCGAATTAGATCTGATATTGGTTGCAAAATATAAGAGAATATCATAGTAATCTCATACCAGAACTTTTCTCGTTTCTTGTCTGAGAAATTCGAAGTAAAATGATTTAGAACAGGATCTTTCAGTGCAATGAATTCGGTATTAATCATATTATATCTATTAATTGAAACTTCTTTAGGTTGTGTATGAGTAAATAAATCAACCATTGACCATAAAATAGCAAAAAATGCATTTAGGCTAATATTATCTGTAGGAATTTTAAGTGACCTAGTATCTTTACTACCCTTTTTATCAGAGGCATTACTAGATTTTTTGCTAGAAGTTTTTAACCTGGCACTTTTGTGCTTCTTTGATCTCTTGGTATCAGAATAAGTTATTTTTTTTTTTGTGACATTGATTTCATATTCTTCTAAATCACTTTCTGAATTACTAGACTCACTGGTCCTAGAGGAATCAGATTCTGATTCATTTCATGAGTATGCTAAGGTATTGGTTTCAGGTTCATTTTCACTAGATATTGTACTATTTTCGCTATTGCTAGAGTCTGAAGATGATTCATTTGAAATTATATAGGCATTAACATGCTTGGATGATTTCTTTTTGGTTCTAGATTTTGATTTGGTTTTGCGATGAGAAGATTTGGGCTTGCTAGAAATCTTTTTTATAGCTTTAGCAATTTTAGTCTGATTGATATGAAGATCTTTTAATTGCTTGCGCATATCTTCTACAGGATCGTTATTGGTAATTCCAACTTTCTTTGTTACCGGTTTTGGGGGTAAATCAGGCTTGAGAATGAGAACAAATCCTTGAATCTCCTCTGTAAGCCATTGTATAAATCTACCCATATTCATATCATGTATAATTTGAGAGGTTTCTGGAGGTTGTGGCCTATAGTCAGATTGTGATAATTGAAAAGAAATAGATTGATTTTGTATAGATGGCATCATAGATTTAATTAAGTTTTCGATTTCAGTTTTGGTCATACCTATATTGCTTGAATAATTGTCTTTTCTATGAGATTTATCCGATGATGCTGGACCTGAATATAAATAAGCTTCAGATAATTGCTCTGTCTTATATCTCTCAATTTCTTCAAGTTCTGTAAGCAATTCAGATACGGGCCTGTTAATTCTAATGCATTGAATTTCTAATTGATTATTAAAAGAAATACCACGAATAAATTGTAATCGAATTTGTTGTTCATCAATATCAGCTAGCCTAGCAAGTTTACGTAACTTAGAATAGAATCGACCCACAGAATCACTGCCTTGGATCGTTAAACCAAAGAGCATTCGCTGTTTTTCCACAGTGACTATGGTATAGTTAGTTTTAAGCCAGTATATTGTCTGGCCAAGTTGAATTCCATCTGCTACTATAGTTTGTCCAGCATTAGCATTTGGCATATTGGGTAATCGATCTGTTGGGCACTCATCAGCAAAAGACCAGTCTTCATCAAATACTGTATGAGCTGGAATAACAATATTTCCTGCCTGGCCCATAGCACCATGTCTTAAATTCACACCAAGTTGTACTGCTATTTGTCCTTGAGCCAGAGCTAAAGTAGCCTGCCCGGTATTATCTAATAAATTTCTTAATTTCCAATTCTTTCGACGAAGAGATCTTTCATACCAGTCTTTAGCATCACCTTTGAGACATATTTCAAAAAAACCATGCACTTGAACTCTGTGAGCATGTCTGGCTAATACATTAATTCCTACGGCCACAAGATATGAGCGAAAAGAATCAATAAATTCTTCGGGATCCTCATCTGGATAGCCATTAAAATTTGGAGGTGAGTATCCTGCTATTCCTATTCGTTGAATATTTGGTGAGTTATTCTGTAGCGCAAAAATTGTTGATTTAAATTATTAATTAATTGTTCAGAATTTCGGGTCCAAGTTTTCCATTTACCTCATTTATTTTGTATAGTTTTGCATCTATTTTTCTATTTGTTATATCAGTTTGTTGTAAGATTTAAGAGATGTATAGTAATTGCCTCATTTGTTTTACAATCTTGTAGTTGCTGATAGGCTTTTCTATTTTTGAATCTTAATGCAAAGCTTTCTAGAAGCAATTCTGATATTCGGCTTTTTTGTATGCGGATTGTAATTCAGCCATCTAGTTCTCAAGATTTAAATATATTATGCTGTGTTCTGTAAGCCTCATAAGCCTGATGAAGAAGATTATAGTCATTTTGAAGCCTAGCTAACTGGGTTTGTAAATCAGCAAACTGGGTTTGAGAATCAGCTAACTGGGTTTGCAAAGTTATTAGCTAGGTCTGCAAATTCGCTACTCGATTTTCAGCATTAATTGCTCGAGCATTTGCTCGTAGATATATTTGTAGCACCAATCTCTCAAACCTATTTCCGGCATCAGAAATTATATTAAGATAATTTCAATGCTATTTATTGTAGGTGTTATTGTAATTAGACTCTGAAAATATTGTCTAATGTTATCAATCTCTCACCGAATTCTATTATTTTGGATCGTGGCTTGATTTTCAGGAAGAGATAATGTTCGGAGGGATCCTGGTTGTTGATCCATTTCTATACTATCATTGGAATTTTTATATAAAACAAGTATTTTTCATTAAGCTTGTCTATTTCATCCTGAAAAATTACTAACCGCTTCTTTATATAATTGATATAATTTTCTTGATTTTTAGAATCTTCAATTACCTTTTCTAACTTTTCTTTAAGATTGGAAATTTCTAATCGCAATGGATCTAGCTCCTTATCTCAAATTGAGATTTCTTTTTCAAGATAATTAATATAATCCTCTTTTGAGTCTAGATCCTGTTGTAATTTGCAGACCCAGTTTTGTATTGCTAATAAATCACTTTTAAATTGTTTGATTCTATCACCCATTTTTTTCGAATTTATAAGAAAAAAAGAGATATTGCAAAAAGGTGGTAGAAAAAAATATATTATCTATTTTTATTATTCATATAGATTCTGGAGAAAGTCAAAAACTTGATATATCTATTGCCTTGCGTAAAATTTATTACCATTCTAATGGTTATCAAAGAACTATGAAAAATTATATGAAGCCTCTCTAAAAGCTGGGTATAATTTTTCTATCGATGAAGTATATAATTGGCTTAAAAAACAAGCTTTATATCAAATTCATAAACCCCAGCCAAGATTTATTTCTAGAGCCTCTTTTAATAGTATACAAATTCCTAATGAATATCACCAAGCAGATATTCTTTATATGCCCTATGACCAAATTAATAATATAACTTATAAATATTGCTTTTATATAGTAGATGTGGCTTCAATATTCAAGTGGGCGGTTCCTTTATCTGATAGATCGGCTTTTTCTGTGGCCAAAGCCTTTAAAAAAGTTTATAGTAATTCCAGGTATTCTCTTATTTGGCCTAAATTATT